GCACACATTGTCTTCCCATGGGATCTGTCCCACCAAAGCTTCTCTCTGATTAGGGCCAGCTGTGAGCTCTCAGCAGCCAGCACTCACAGTGGAGTGGGGGGACACAAGGTCGAGGCACCAGCCTGGGAGAGGGCCCTGGGAGCGTTCCAACCATGTGCCCTTACGCGGCGTCCTCTGCCCTGTGGAGTCCAGAAATGCTGCTCGGGAGAGCAGTTGTTAAGCTGGACATGGTTAAGTTCCAGTGTGCTGGGAGACCTGGGCGTGGGTGGCCTGCAGATCAGGGTGAAGGCCAGTGAGAAAGCAGAGCTTAGGAACCCCAAATTGTTCAGCTCTGTGGGGCCGGAGCCCTGCTTGAGAAATGGAGCAGAATCAGATGGTGCCAGGAATGTACCGGGCTGATAGTCTGGTTAACAGTCCTAGCTCTATGCGGCAGGTGACAGGACCAGTGAGGAGCGAGCATTTGGTGGCAGTGTGGACAGTGAAGTGTGCAAGAGCAGGAGCAAGGTTGTCAGGAGAGGAGGAAGAAATGACAGCCATGGGTATTGAAGACTCACTGCGTGCTTTCAGGCTCTTACCATCCGCATTTTGCAGGTGAGGAAACTGAGTAGGTCAGGAACTTGCCCACCGAGTTAGCATGAGCTGAGATCTGGACCCAGGGCTTAGCTGTGTGTTTCCCTTGTTCATGCCCACGCACATGAATTTTGGATTCCAGTTCGTGACCTATCGGTATTTGTTTTCATTTAAAAATAATGCTGTCAAGCGCACACACGTTGGACCTGGAGAGCCTGGCTGCTGGGACAGCTGTGAGGGAGTCCGGCCCCGTGGTCCTGCTGGGGCGCGGGCTCTGCCCAAGTGAGGGCCCAGGGAAGCAGGCAGCTCCTGCTCACTGAGGAAGGGTGTTTCTGTCCTGCGGCCCTGCTGGCCTAGGCTCCTTGGCAGCTGCACCTGTTCTGTCCTTCTCTCTGCACCCAGCCAGACGTCTGTCCCAGAGTGACAGCAGCAACTGGAGCCTTCTACAGAAGCTTCCTCTCAGGCCTGACAAAGGCACTCAGAACGCGGTCCAGGCCTACAGGGGAGGGAGGCTGAGGAGGGGTGTGGGAGGGCTGAGGAGTGCAGACAGCTGTGGGCTGGTGGGGCCGGCTTGGCCTGGCCCCAGAACAGGTGAAGTAAGTGTGAAACTGAGGAGGAGAGTCCCGTGGGTTTTCAAGGGTAGAATAGAAGAGAATGCAGGGCTTCTCTGTAGTATGTCAGGTGACTGTGGCTTAACTTTATGACTGAGGTAGTTCTTAACTAGGTTTGCTTTTTCAGAAAGGACCTGGCAAGAAGAAGGGAGAAAGCACAACTGTTGCAGGGTTGCCCAGCTCAGGCCAGGTGGAGAGGGCACAAAGGGAAGGTACCCCCAGAGGGGACACTGGGTGGATGTTGGAAAGTCTCTCTGCATAGAAGGTCACCTAGAGGCCAATAAGAGTCTCTTCAGGGAAAAAAAAATCTTGCCTGGAAGTAGGTTCTTGAAAGGGAGAACTTAAGTTTTGAGAGAAGGAAATACCGAGTAAAACAGTAAACTTAATGGCTGTAACCCCTTATATGTGTGCCCAGCACGCTACAGTTAGAAAGCAGGGTTTGTCACCGGATCGTCGCAGGCCTTGCAGAGAAGGCACCTTTCAGTGCTCATGTAACTACTATGGTGCTTTGTTAGGACACAATAAAGAAAGGAAACGGGAGCCCAGAGGTCACGGAGAACTGTCCTCAGGTTTTAGTTAGGCAGAACTCTGCCTCAGCACTGGCTCCTTGTTCTTTTCACAGCTTTCTCTTCTGTTGTCTTTGTAGGCAGTGAGGACCTAGAGGCAGTACCTTTATTCTGCAAAGAGAAAAGATGGTAGGAATATAAGCACACGGGGACACAAGGCTTTCGTTTCAGAGGCCCACAACAGTGCTTCTTTTTTTTTTTAAATATTTATTTATTTTTATTTATTACATTTATTTATTGTGTGTGTGTGTGTGTGTGTGTGTGTGTGTATGTGGCCAGCTCAGCCCACCAGGGGGCAGGGCTGGCTGGCATGTGGTGCTGGGGATCGAACCGAGGTCCCTGTGCTTTGCCAAGCTTGTTTCAAGTAGGTGCTTTAGACCACTGAGCCATCTCTCCAGCCCCAAAGTAGAGGGTTTTTTTTTTTTTTTCCTTTTCGCAGGACCAGGGATTGAACTCAGGACCTTGCACTTGCCAGGCCAGCACCTATTCTACTGAGCTATCTCCCCAGCCACACCACAACAGTGCTTCTTACCCCCAGTTCCTCTGGGTGAGGCTAACTGTTCACATGAACACCCCATGTGCCCTGGGTTGTGTGGGACTGTCTTCAGGGACAGTGCAGGGAGGGGGGATGACAAGAATGTAGCCAGGCCAGGTGGCTGGGAGGTGAGACCCTGGCTTCTTCAGACGCTTTTTTTCTTCATACCAGCTTTGAAGTAGAACTCATTTACAGGAAGCTCTGGGTGGACTTTGCACTGGCGCTGGGCCACTCTGCACAGGGCTGGGGAGCTGATTCAGTGTCAGGAAGCCTCTGAATGCCACACTCTACCCTTACTGGGACCCGGCATTTGGTGACCTGCTAGAGTGCTTTTCCTGCTGGGGTTGTTCTCTCTCAGCAGACAGCCCCTGGCAACTGGAGCTCCGAACTCCATGCTTTCCTGCAGTTTGCAAAAGAGGCAGGTGGTGAAGAAACTGGCTCCATGGGTAACATGTGAGGATCAGCGCCCCTGGCACAGCCCTGAAAGGGTGGAGGAGGGGCCGGGGCTTCTAAAACCAAGACTTTCACTTCACATGCCAGTGATTCTGCACTGTCATATCTGCACACGGCTGACCTCCAGGGCTTTCCCGGAAAGGCCGAATCTTCTTTCCACATCCTCTTCTGCTGGCAGTTGGCAGGTCCGCTTCTGTCAAATGGTGGCATTGGGAATGGTCCTGAGCCCTCCTTCTCTGGCACATCCTCGTGCCCCTTTCCTCTCCTCTGGAGCTGGCTCATATGTAGAGGTTTAGTTGGGCTGAAGAGAAGGGGTGTGATGCCCCACCAGGAGCAGAGCTGCTGCACAGCCACCGATGTCTCCATTTCTGGTACACTCTGCTACCAGCCTCCGCTTGCTGGGCTGCTCCTCAGCCAGGCAGCCCCATGTGGGACAAGGAGGAAGTCTCAGCAGGACAAGGGCTAAGGAATGCCCTTTGGAGTGGCTTCTGCTTGCCAGTTCCCTGGAGGCCGGGCCCTGGCTTGCAATGTGGCAGGCTCTTCTAGGAATGTGCTCCCCAGCCGGGTTTTCTGGTCGGTTGGGAATGTCCCTGGTCCGGTCTGCACTGGCTCTCAGGGGCTCCCTCTAGGCTGGCCCCAGGCCAGCTGCAGGGGCTGGTCTCTTAGGACAGGTCAGAATGACTGCAGGTCTGCAGAAGAATCTGGCAGCTGGGGCCCTGGAGATGAAGTCACTTTGCTTTTGTTTCCTTCCCTTGGATGAGCTGTCAGTGGGAGGGAAGAAACCAGCAAATGGAAAAGCTAAAAGGCTTTACACAGCCTCTGCCAGGAGTCCTGCAAGTCCAGCCTCTGTGGTGGTGGTGGTGGTGGGGCTGAGCACCCCAGTCCCTCAACTGCTTGCTGCCTTACTCTGTGGGAGCTTAGGAGAAAAAGAGGCGACAGATGACTGGCCTGCTAGCTTTGTGAACCTCCATGTTCTCATTAGAGAGGGGTAACTCGGGTCGCACAGTGTGGCTCAGTAGGCTGCAGGGAAAAGTGCTTGAGACTGGTCAGGAACGGTGCTGTCACAGGGGCTGCTAAATTGGGGAGCCTGGGCTTTTCCATGGAGAAGGTGGTTTTCTGACTCCTTCATTTACTTTTTACAACCACAGAATGATAGATCTGAAACTAGAAGGAACTGTAAGAGGTCACCTGATCTTGTCTCCTGGTATAATTATTGGTATTTTGTAGATAAGATTGTTTTGAAGGTCATTATTTTGACGAATCATTCTGTCATAACATGGGACAAGTGAGTCCTTTACCTTTCTGGGTGAAGTGTGAGTTCAGGTGCTCCAGCCAGTTAAGGGACCGAAGAGAATGGGAAAGCCGTGCCCCTGAGAACAGGTGTAGATCACGCAGCTTTCTAGGCAGAGGGTCCTGCCAGGCTCAGGTGCTGCGAACTACATTCTGCTGCCCATCTTCTCCTGACTCCTAAGGACTAGCCTCAAGGGAAAGTGGCTCCAAGGACAGTGAATTCTCCGGGGAATTTTTTCTTCAGAGGAGTATCTCCTTCTGACTCACCTTAAAACAACAACAAAATACATTGAAAGAAGGGCTGCCTTTGCTGACTTTGCCGGCCCTGCAAGACCTCCTGAGCTGCAGAAAATGTTTCCCATTTTCCAGATAGTCACGCAAAGAGGGACCAGGTCTTGGACTAGCAAATGATCGGGGAGGTATTGAAGGAGCACAGGGACCATGTGAAAGCTCCCCCGCTCTAGTCTGAGTTGCTGGACTTGCAGTGGCCATGTGGGGCCTCCACAGGGCCTGGGGGGGGGGTGTTTCTCCTGTACTTCTACACCCCGGGGAAGCTGGTGAACCAGCAAGTGAAGATGGGGAGGCTGCTAATAAACTGCCTCGGAGAGGACTGTGCATGGTTTACTGTACCCAAAACCCGAGTTTTCTTTGTGGCAGAAAGCGACTTGTGCCCTCCCCAAAATCACACACACTTTCCTGGCAGGCACCGTGGGTTTCCAAACATTTCGTCACTGTCTCCTCCTGACCTTGGTGTACAAGGAACGAGCCGCGTGGCCGGTTGGTTCCAGCAAAGCCATGGGGGCGCCCGCCTGGGCTGGGGGAGGGTGGCGCCCGACTCCGAGTGGAGGTGAGGTCTGCTGGAAATCCCCAGCCCCGACCGCCGCCGGAGGTTTAAAGCAGCCTTCCTTAGCCTTATTTGGTCGCAGGAAGTGGGCGGCGCTGGGCCTGCTGGAGGAGAGGCTGCCCCAGTCGGTTGTGCTGATGAAGTGGTCGAGCTGGTTCCTGCTCCTCGCGGCGCCGCGCGCGCTGGCCGGCTGCTGGGCACTCCGTGCACCGAGCCTTGAGTTGTGCAATCCTTTGTAGCACACCAGAGAGCCCTCCTCCTGCGCTGTTGCCTCTCGCCCTTTTTTTTTTTTTCAAGCTGTGAGCTCAACCGATGAGTCAGAGCCGTGCAATCCTGACACTGCATCGCAGGACTGGGGGTGACACGCAGGGAGGGAGAGCGCTTGCGAGGTGGACTGCACGGGGCGCGCCAAGGTTCCTACGCTGTGAACGAGCCGGGGTGACAGCCCGCGCGTCCCGCCACGGCCCTGCCAGCAAACTTCCCAGCTGAGGGAGGCACAGGCCCGCAGAAGCCCCACGAACGCCGCGGGGAGGCGAGGGTTTCTGTTTGTTTTCAAAATCGGGAGTGCGCGCAGGGGGCTGGAGCCCCGGAGGTGACTGAAGGCCACCGACCGAAGGCGGCGGCCCACAGAGGAAAGGGCACGGTTGAGGCCGAAGCGCGGGCCGGAGCGGGGTAAGTTGGGCCGCGAGCCCGTGGCCGAGGCCTGCACGCGGCAGGGGCAGCAGCGCGGGGAC